TTTTTTTTTTTTTTTTTTTTTTTGAACATTCTTTAGTTTTTTTTTTTGCTAAATTGTAAATGTCATTCATGGAATGAAGGTTTGGTTACAATAAAATTGAAACCAGAATCTGCTAAAAAGCCATTCTGTTTCTAGTGACTGCAAAAAAGTTTAAAAAAAGTCCCTAGAAAACAAGCAAATTAGTCCTAGTCTAATGAAGAACTTAGAACTAATAATTAACAAGAACAAACGACAACAATAGTTCCCACAAATAACACTTCTTGATCTCCCAGTGGACCAGTTAATCAAGAGTAAAGTTCAAACAGGTTGCTTGAAGTTCCAGCAGAACACTCACCCGAAAGTGGCTCCCTTAGGCATCGACGGAGGCGGCGGGCAAACGGCTCCGGAGCTCCTTAGGAGGAGGACGGCAAGCAGACCTACAAGAGCTAGCTCGACTGAAGACAAACCAAAAGTTCCAGACATAACCACCGATGACGATGAAGAACAAATTCAGGTCAAGCGCAGTCGGTAAATAGCTCCCCGATCCGACCACGCAACACAAACGTACGGCAGCGACATCAAGGGAACTCGAGGTCACTTCGTCGGAGTTAAGAGAAAGGGATTGAAGCATAGGAGGAGACACAAGTCACCTCAAAAGCAGGCACAACGATAGGGTATCGATAACTCTGTTCCCAGCAAAAGACACGGCGCACTGGGTCGTCCTCAAAACCCTAGTCTCTAATGTTCAGAAGCGAGGAGATAAGCCACCAAAGCACCACCGTTGAAACCATGGCAGTCGTCGATTGAACTACAGCAGAGGTCCTCCAAGCGATGGGCCTAGTCACCGCCTTTTCTCCTGAAGGAGAGGAGAAGCTCACAGAAACCTTGAGCCAAGCCAAACCAAGTCACATGGGTACAGGACAGAGCCGACAGAGAAAGGAAGAGGCAGCGACGCTAGTCAATCCTCGCCGGCGGAGGCAAGATCAGATATGACCCAGATCTGCTCCGATAGACTGGTAGAAGCTGAATCGAAGGCTCCTTAGGCTCACCAACAGATCCACTCCTCATAGGTTCTCCAGAGAGATGACATACACATGTGTCTCTGGTTAGATTCGATACAACGAAAATCCAGAGAACCCATCAAGAAGAAGAGGATAGAGAAGGAGAAACTAAGGGTAAGGCCAAGTGGAACATCGGAACAGGCAGTGGGGTGACCGGAGGTAAGGAACCCCCAGTCACCAGGGGGAGAACACTGACGGCGGCGCTAGGGTTTGAGTGGTGGTGATGAGAGACTCTCTCGAGAAAAAAGTTTCTCTCTCTCTCTTGAAAAAGTTTGCCCTTTTACCTAACATTCTTTAGTTGAATGTTTAGACTGAAGAAACTAAAATACGAAGACATAATCTTATCGTCTTGTCTATAATCCACCAAATAACATATTTAGTTAAATATTTGAGGTCGCATGGTGGCAACTATTACAGATAGAAAGCGTTCGGCTTATACATTTCAGATGGGTGTTATACTGTAAAACAAGCGGATTCGCAAACCCTGAATGGTTCTTATTCGAACGTGTTGACAATGTTCTCCTTACCGGACCTGGCACATTCCACGGCAGAGGTGAAGCTGTATGGGCAGCTGATGGTTGTGGCAAAAAGGCTAAATTCAGTCTTCCCCCAACGGTATTGATAAGTTAACGTACACATATATCAACTAAGTATTTATATTGTGTACTAATCACAGGTACACATGCATGCATGCAATCTCTAAAATTCAGAAACATAGTAAACCTTGAAGTCAGCAGAATTAGCTCGGTAAACGCAAAGGCCTTCCACATGTTCTTGGTGAAAACCGTGAATGTCAACATCCACAACATTAAGCTTATCGCCCCTGCTGAGAGTCCCAACACCGATGGTATCCATTTGAGCAATGCTGACAACGTTAGGATCGTCGACAGTTTCATAGCAACCGGAGACTTCATAGCAACCGGAGACGATTGTGTTTCAGTTGGACGTGGTTGCAACGGTGTAATCGTTGAACGCGTGACTTGTGGTCCTGGACAAGGCGTAAGTGTCGGCTGAGAACATTCATTTTGAAGATATTATCATGGAAAACGTCAAGAACCCAATCATCATTGACCAAAACTATGGTTCAAGAGGCGGGGTAAGTATACATATACACGGGAGAAAATCTTTTAAAGCCAAACCGGCCCTGGACAATGCCTAGTGAAACATTTGTTTCAGGCCCCCAAAAAATTGACTCCTTGATGTGGTGGACATGCGCCTCCTTGGACTCCTTGACTCTAAGGTACTTCGTTCTTAAAATTCATTGAATATTTCTTCAACCTTATGAACAGCTTAGTTTTGAAACAAATTCCGGCGTGTAATTTAAGTTTCTTTTTAAAATACTTTCGGAGATAACTTTGATTGTGTTTGTTTACCCGATTGTCTTTTCCATGTGTTTCAGGCGACAGTGAATGTCAACTAGATCGCCTCTTTCAGGCAGCGTTTAAAGGCATGGTCAATGTTCTATGTGAGAGGTTTGAGGGTTAGTCTCCTTCTTTAATGTTTGCCTGAGAAATTAGAGAACACATTGGTTAGTGAAGAAGCTTAAAGTCTAAACACAAAACAATAAATTTGATTTATGCAGTGGAATCTCTAGACGAGGTTTATGATTCTGAGTTGAGTTTTTTCATGAGCATCTTATATTTTTCACAAGGCATGCAAGTTTATGATTTCATGAACATCTTACTTACTCAGCTTTGTATAAGATGTTGAGAATATGACCTGTAATTTGGTCCTTTATGATTCGTTGAAACAACCTATTGGTTTTCTTTCTAACTCTGCATTTTCCTGAGCTAAAACCTTATTTTGGCATTTTTCAGATTTATATATAGGAACTTCTGCCTGGAACATGGAAGACCTTGAAGGTACACCGAGGCTGATAGCTTGCTTCAATTTGTAGAGAGACCGCTGAGGTAAAAACATCTGCCTCCCATTGCATCAACTACACTCTATGAAAATGTACTTTCCCCTGAAAAATTGTCCTTTTCCTTTTGTGAACTAAGCCCTCGAAAAAAAAGAAAAAAAAAATACACAACGGAATACGTTGGTTTGATTCACTTTCCTACATAATTTCTCTATTCTCTGTGGTTTTGAAGGTTCTTTTTCTGGTTTAGCGAAGAACTTGATCGTAGCTTTGTCTGCGAAACGGGTGCTGGAAAACATGTTCCCTGAGCTCTATTTATTGATCTCGAGCCCACTGTTATCATTGAAGTCACTAGGGGAACTTACCGTCAGCTTTTCCATCCTGAGCAGCTAACCTCTGGGAACAATTTGGCCGAAGACAATTATACTGGTGAGGAAACCATTTCATTAACTCTTCTTCTTAGTGGTTTCTTCAAGTGGTGATTAAAAGTGATGTTGTTGCAGTTTGAATGGAGATTCGGGACATTTGTCTTGATGGTGTGCGAGAACTCCGTTTTCCTAAATTTTGCGAGCTCAGTGTTGCGGTTGTCGTGCGTTGAAGTATCGAGGTCACCATTGCTCTTTTTGCAGGTCAACCTAAAGAATCTGGAACATATTAATGAGAACCACATACATGAAGGAACATAAGGAATTGGTAATGAGGAGCACGAAAAAAGAGCAAAATGCGGTGGCGACGGAAATAAAGCAGATACACGTGTCACACATGATGTGTGATCTGTTCGGATGATTTTGACCTAAACGTCGTTAGGATTCTGGTGGAATGCAAGCGAGTGTTAGTAAAAGTGAAAATTTTAGGGCTTGAATATTTGGTATCATGCAGTTTTAATATTCTTACATCTAAACTATTAAAAGTGAAGTACAATTAGTACTTAAACCTTATTTTTCCTCAATATTTACAATAAACTGCCACTGAGTTCAAAGATAAACATAAAGGTTGTTTCAGTTTTTTGCTTACATTAACCTAACATTTTCTTAATTTATTGATTTAACATTTAACTTTCTTAGCGACAAATAGATATGATTGATGACGACGGAGACAATGTCAAAGGTTATAACTTCCTCTAACGGTGTTATTCTGTTCGTC